AGAGGCCGACCCCCCCCTATCCCCCATTCCCAGGGAGGAGAGGCCGCCCCCCCCCGGCTCCCCCCTCCTGTCAGGCAGTCACAGAGGGCGATAAGGTCTCCCCTCAGCCTCCTCTTCTCCAGGCTGAACACCCCCAGCTCCCTCAGCCGCTCCCCATCAGCCTTGGGCTCCAGACCCCTCACCAGCTTCCTTGCTCTCCTCTGGACATGTTCCAGCCCCTCAATGTCCTTCTTGTAGTGAGGGGCCCAAAACTGAACACAGGATTCGAGGTGCGGCCTCACCAGTGCCCAGTACAGGGGCACAATCACTGCCCTGGTCCTGCTGGCCACACTATTCCTGATACAAGCCGGGATACCATTGGCCTTCTTGGCCACCTGGGCACACTGCTGGCTCATATTCAGCCGGTCAAGAAAATATTGAAAACATCGCCCATTAGGAGATGGGCATCCTCTGGGGTGAGGAAGAGCCCCAGATGACCCACACGGGAAGGTACCGTGCTTGGGGCATATTAAGACCTATTAATTCCAGAGCAGCTCTTCATAAGCAGACAGAGTAGCCATAGCTTGATGCGCTGTTGTGTTTTCGATGGATTAGCCACAGGGCTACGCGTTTGGCCCAGTGACTGGGAAATGAGCTGAGTCTGTCCACAGCTCCTCAGCAGGGCCCCTCTGGAGCCGGCGATGCTCGTGTCCATCCAGCGCCCACCAATAACCCTGCCAGTGTTCCCCCCTGCGTAATGCCATGGGATGCACAGCCCAGAAACAAAATGGCTGCCTGAAGACCAGCAGCGCATTATCTCCACCCAGAAATATTTGGTTAGGCAAATAGGCTTCAGCAAGTTATAGCGACTTAAATCATCCCAAATGCCTGTAAGTTCTACCTTACTTGTTTTGTTATTGGCCCATAAGGAGAGAGCACAGATATGTTAAATGTTTCCTAAGCCAAAAAAGAAGAAGGAAAAAAATCCATTCATTGCAGCCTGAACACCTTTGATTTATGAATCTCTGATTCATCCTGACAGCTACTTAAAAATTCGTGTCAAAATCTGCATTAATCTTGGCCAGAAAAAGAAAAGAAATGTGTTAGGTAACAAGAGTGCCACGAAATGCAGTTACTATTGTGGGTGTGTTTAATGAAAGGCATCGTTAGCATTTAGCTCACCAGAGGAACATCAGTACGTATTACCAGAGAGTTTCTCTTTTTTGAAGTCTGTTGAACAAATGTGTACTTGGGCATAGAAATGCATCTCTAACATTGACGTCTCATTAAATTATTTCCCTTCTTTACTGTGTATAGTTTTCATGTATGTCGGAGCTTCTCGTGTGTTATTAGACGCTGAAACTGAGATAATAAACTGAAATTTTTTGTTGTATAAGGGATGAAAGGGAAATAAATTACTTTCTCTTTCTTTTTGTCTTTTCCTCCCAATATTGAGCATATTTGAGATTAAAAACTTTGCTTAATGACTTGATTGATCAAGTAGCGTTTTCTATAGTGCCTGGGAGAAATTACCATAAACTCAATAAAATGTTTTTTAAAAAAATTCTCATTATTATTTGTTGCTGATTTCGTTATTTTTTTCAAAGAATGCTTCATTACAAATGGTAATGTTTTCCAAGAAAATAGCCAGATAGTTTGAAATTTGAATATATTAAGGATTTGAATAAATAAAAGCAGCTGCTTTCCTCTTGCAATAGCTGTGCCTTCTACTTTGCATTTCTAAATGCAATTTTACTTAGCATATATCCATGGTGATTTACTTATCTTGTGTTTTTTAAAGTGTCTTAAAAGGCCCTAGGCCCAAGGTGGCAGTAGACCATCCTGGCAGGGAGATGTAAGGAGGAGAGAGCAGAGAAGGGCGGCGTGTGGCTGCGCTCCTGTTCAAACCCTGTTATGTTTCCACCGTGAACTGAAGCCAGAACGCTGCACTGTAGCTTAATCTGAAAGGGCAGGTGATGAAAAACAGGAATGAGGTTAAATTTATGCTGGAGATCACAATTTTCTTTCCCTCCCTCTTTTTCATTACTTTACTATTAAAGAAAGCTAGGATATTACTGTGGGGTGCTTGTTTTATTTTTACAAAAATGCTGATTTCATAATTGAATAATTGAATGTGATTCTTTATTTGTAACATGTCCTATCTGGCCTGTGCCCACAGTTCTCCAGCAATATACTAAGCTATAGACAGTTGAATTAAGCATAATTAAACATGTTGTTAAAGTTTTTGAAAGAAACTTAAGATTCAAGATAATTAAACAGTTAAGATACTACCTGTATTTTCTACTGAAAACGTTTTTGTCTGTATCTCCCATTTTTATAGGCTTTCGGGTAACATCATTCATACAGTGTCACAGGTTGTACTGAAGATGATGTCAGAGGTCCATACTGGACATGTGAGTGGGTCAGAGTGGTGGGTTTTGAGAGGAGTTGATGAAACTCATTTCAGTATTTTTGGCTGTGGGATTTTTCACTGTGGGTTCTTCTTGGCTATGTGTGAAGTGGTTGCTTTGGTTTTCTTGTAGGGTGATTTTAATTTTTTAATTTTCTTTAAAGAAAGGGAAGAGAACAAAGGCAGGCGCGTGGATGGCTGAGCGCTACTCCAGACAATTTGTCTTATTGACTGCAGGAAAATTACTGGCATGGCACCAGTGCCCTTCTCAGCCACTTTGAGACTTGGCAAATTCTCCCTAGGCTGTTAGGGTAATGCTTGCATTAGCCCTTTGTAATAAACAGGTACCAGAAGAGTTGCAAAGGTAGATTTATCTTGGCTGCTGAAGGTGGGCTGCTGAAGGGAAATGGCTGAAAATTATTAACACTTTATGGAAGAGTATGAGCCGAAAGGTTAAGTTCCCTATCATGGATATTTAAAACTCTTGACTCAGCCAAGCTATTGATTTCCCCCTATGGACTGACTGACCTGTTCATAATCAGGAAAATGTTACAATGGAAAGTCTCACGTGAGGAAGAGTGGTGCAGTTTGCACTTCTACTCCAAGACTTGAGAGAGGACAGTTCAGTTCCCAGCTTTGCAGCAGATTTCATGTGTGAGTAGCAACAGTCTGTCACAGCTATTTCAGTACCTCCAGTTGATCCAGGCACCCAGCAGAATTTGATAAAGTTTCCACCACGATTAGAGTTTTACACTGAATACCCCCCACCCGTCTGCTTCAGTATATCTGAAATCCTACTAGACACCTCATGGTCTTTCGCATCTAAATATCTTTGAAAACCTGGTTTACATCTCCCAGGGGTTTTTGGTGGAGACATGTCTGAGCTGGACCATGAGGACCAGGGCACTGTGCTGTACCCATGAGGCTTGGGTTGGATATTGGCTTGGAGGGGGATGCTGTTGGAAACGCAAGTCACCCTCTCACATCTCCATTCGCAGCCGAGTGATCCCTTCCCACCTCCACGAATGTCCCAAGGCAGGCAGAACTTTGTTCTCCTGCCACAGTCAAAATACTGGTAGCTGTGGGCTTAACAACGTGCTGGCTGGTTTCCTGGGATTTCAGCTGAAATTCTGAAACCCCACCCCAGCATCGCCTCTCTGACTTCAGACACCCCCAGTTTGTACCTTTCTTTCTAAACGCCAGTCTGTGATCGTTTCATATGCTGTTGTTTCTAGCATGTTCCTACATTAAAATGCATCCTGTTTGTCCTTTGCCGCTTAGTACAATTTAGGATTTGACTCTTGCAAAACATAGCTTAGGTGTAAAATTTGTCTATGTACTTGTTTTGTGAAGTGGAAGAACATCCCTAATCTTAAACCATAAAGCAGTGATAGTTTATAAAGCCAGAAAAGGCATTTAACAAGCTGCCTAAAGCCAGATAATTTCAGACTATATTTGTCACATACATAGGGGACATAAAATTATGAAAGGCAACCAGTTTGAGCAGGATGTGATGCCAGTAAAATGAAACAGCACTGTACAGAAAGGAAAGCTGGTGCAGAGTTGAGGCTTGGTAAATGGGTGGAGGGTCCCATTCACAGGGTCGTGACTTCAGAAAGTTTGGCGGGACTGTAGGAAGTCCCTGCCCCATCCCTTTAGCAGACACCCCTTTGCCACCTCAGCTGTGCTGACTGCCATTCTTGTGGAGCCATACTGCAAGCTGTGTCGGGGGCTGATCTGGGCTGCGGTAGTGGTTTTTTTGACTTTAAACTTGCACCAGTTGGCAAGCCCAGCTCCCAGCAGGGGGTCCCCAAATGCCTGTGTGGGCTCAGGCTGCGGGGACCCTCCAGCAGCATGGGGCAGAGGGTGAGCCAGGAACGTGTTGAGCTGCTCTTGTCCCCGCAGGCTTCTCCTGTTGCCAGCCCTGGGCAAGGGCAGTGATACGTCGGCACCTTTGGGTTGTGAAACCACGTGGGCATCTGTGATCAAAAGTATTTCTGATCTGAATGCAGTGTTTGGAGGGGCTTCTCTGATGGGCTCATAACCCTGCAAAATGGGCTAAGATAAATGTATATGGAGTGTTGGATGGGAGGATGCTGGCTGCAGCATGTCTCCCCTTCAGCAATATCATCTAGGTAAGCCTCAGTAGTGCTGGAAGTCCGTGTTTATGTCAGCCCAGGAAACACGTTTTACGTATCTCACTGAGATTAGTTTATAGAAACTGTGTAACTGGTTCCAGCTGAAACCTTCACCAGATCCATCTGACTTACCTCTTGGTGAAAACCAGCGGGAGAAAGCGGAGCTTTTTTGCTACTGTTTTGCCTTTTTTTTTTTT